GTGCTGAAATGTGCTGAGGAGGAAGCCCAGATGACAGTCTGTCATAGTTCCACAGAAAGCACCCTTTCCTCTTTGTTGATGTGATTTGTTCTCATCGTGCTCAGTGGAAGCAAGATGGCGCCAGTGTTTGAGGCTTGCCGTCTGACTCTCCTCCTGTTTTGTTTCTGTCTCCTGTCAGGTTTTAATTTTATTACAAGTGTAAACTCTCTAATTGTGTATGATCGCCAAACATTGCTGGACATTGGTGCCTCAGCTGGAAACACGTTACTGAGGACGTATAATGCAGAAAAAACTTCGACCCGGCCGTTGGGCATTCCAGCTCACCTGTGTCGTTTCTGGATTTTGCCTTTCTGTTGGAAGCGGGCGCGCCGCCGTGGAAGGCGCAGCGGTCGGCTGGTGCGATTGAAGGCTGCCCTGCGGCGCGGTTTCTCTGCCTCCGCGATGTGTGGTCTGGTGCCTCGCCTTTCCTGTCCATTGCGTGTGTTGGATCCCGTGGATTCCTGTCTGGTTCCTGTCGGTGGAGGCTGGGATGGAGCGTTCCAGTCCCGTGGTCCCTGCGCTTCTCGGCCCTGTAGACGCAGGGTGAATCCTAGCAACCTGCGCCCTCTCTGCCGGGAGTCCCGGACGGCAGCTGATGACGTGGATCCGCCGATTTCTGTCAGGATCGGTTTGGTAAATGCCAGGTCGCTGGCAAATAAAACTTTCGTAATTAGGGATTTCTTTTCCTCTCAAGGATTAGATTTTTTATTTATAACAGAATCATGGACACGTGGCTTGAGTGATTCCAGAATTTTTAATGAACTTGTCCCAGGGAACTGCAGCTATTTTAATTCTCCAAGGATGTCGGGCTCTGGTGGAGGAATAGTGACTGTTTTTAAAAGTAGTTTTACTTGCAAGCAGTTGCCCGTACCCTCGTTTAGTAGCTTTGAGCTGAGCCTATTTGAACTTGGCAGCTCTCACACTGTGTTGTGTGCTGCAGTCTATCGGCCACCAAAGTATAACAAAAATTTTATAAATGACTTTTCTGATTTCTTGGCCGATATCATGCCAAAATATGACCGAGTTCTCATTGTTGGTGATTTTAATATTCATGTCTGCTGTCCGACTTCACCTATGGCTCAGTCATTTCTTAATGTTATTGATTCTTTTAATTTTGTGCAGTCTGTGACTGGTGCTACTCATGAACATGGTCACACTCTTGATTTGGTTTTATCTTATGGTCTACCAGTCTTTAACTTAGAAATTGGTGACTCATTCTTTTCTGACCATATGCCTGTTTTGTTTGAGACAACGCTGTCCCATGGAAAAGCTAAAACTCGAGCTGCAGCTCGGCTCTGTCGTGTTTTTAACCCTACTACTGCTGGTCAGTTTTCTTCTGTTTTTAATCAGAACTGTACTATTCCAGAGGATGTGGGAAATAACACTGAGGAACTCAGCAACTGGTTTTATTCTACCAGTAAAGCAGCCTTGGATTTGGTGGCACCTCTAAAAATTAGATTTCCAAAATCCAAGCATGAACCCTGGTTAAATGAGGTCACTCGGGCTGCCAGGAGAGACTGCCGCAGAGCAGAACGCAAATGGAGAAAGGACAAATTACAGGTGTCTCTCCAAACATTAAAGGAATGTTGGCGCTGTTATCAAAGGATTGCAAAAGGCAGCCAAAGAAAATACCTGTCGGGTTTGATTGTATCAAATAGTCAGAATCCTGCTATCCTATTTAAAATTATTAACTCTGTTCTAAACGATTCACATAGTGGCTTTATGGAGACCTCACCTGCTGCATGTGAAAACTTCTTACACTTTTTTGATGAGAAAGTTGCTTCTATTAGGGCCCAGATTATCCCCTCTTCTTATGATCCTTCAGTTGTGGTGCCTTGTTCTGGTGTTTTCCACAGCTTTGAATGTGTGAACTTGCAATTATTGCAGGAGGTGGTTAATCACTTAAGGCCAACTGGTTCTCCAGATGATGTTATTTTGCCCCAATTATTTAAAGAAGCTTTCTCTGCTATAGGTCCTTCTGTCCTTGCTCTTGTAAATAGTAGCTTGTCCTCAGGCATTGTTCATAACGCTCTGAAGCATGCAGTTATGCAGCCTCTACTTAAGAAACCAGCTTTGGATCCTACTGTTCTGGCAAATTATCGACCTATCTCTAAATTGCCTTTTATTTCAAAAATTCTTGAGAAGGTAGTCTGTAATCAGCTAATGGCCTATCTTAATGAACATAATGTATTAGAGGTTTTTCAGTCTGGTTTTAAACCATTTCATAGCACAGAGTCAGCCCTTTTAAAAGTTTTTAATGATATACTTTTAGCAACTGATTCAGGTGACGTTGTTGTTTTGGTGCTGTTGGATTTATCATCTGCTTTTGACACAGTTGATCATGTCATTTTACTTTCCCGTCTGGAACAGTGGGTGGGCATCGGTCACATAGCTCTAGATTGGTTTAGATCATATTTGGCTGAACGTACTTTTTGTGTCTGTCTTGATGGCCATAGGTCCCCCTCTGCTCCACTGTCGTGTGGTGTCCCACAGGGCTCAGTTCTAGGCCCGCTCCTTTTCTCACTTTACCTTCTTCCGCTCGGCTCTATTTTAAGAAAACATGGGATTGCCTTTCACTGCTATGCAGATGACACACAGATATACTTACCGCTAAAGAATGTAAACTCCACCTCTCTTCGGTCTCTGTTTTTATGTCTTGAAGATGTGAAGGCCTGGGTGGCCCTAAATTTTTTAAAACTCAATGAGGACAAGACGGACATAATGATCTTTGGCAGATCCACTGCTGATTCCGTGACAAGTCTTGGCTCCTTGGCTCAGTACGTTAAGCCGGTTATTACAAATTTAGGGGTTAAGATGGATGCTGGTCTTAAAATGGAAGCGCACATCAGAGCCGTTATAAAGTCCAGCTTTTTCCACTTAAGGCAGCTAGCAAAAGTAAAACCCATTCTTTCCAGACAGCATTTCGAAACAGTGATCCATGCATTTGTGACGACACGGCTGGATTACTGTAACTCACTTTATACAGGGGTCAGCGACTTGTATATTTCTCATCTTCAGAGGGTTCAAAATGCTGCTGCACGTCTTTTAACAGGTACACGAAAATTCGACCACATTTCCCCTGTTTTAGCTTCCTTACACTGGCTGCCAGTACATTTTAGGATTAATTTTAAAATTCTTTTATTTGTTTTTAAAACTCTTAATGGCCTTGCTCCTTCTTATCTGTCTGAGCTGTTACATTCTTATACACCCTCCCGTTCCCTCAGGTCAGCTGATCAGTTGCTTCTGAGGGTCCCAAAGACGAAATGCAAGCTCAGAGGAGACCGTGCTTTTTCTGTGGCAGCTCCTAAGCTGTGGAACGATCTGCCTCTGAGCATAAGACAGGCCTCTTCTCTTACTGCTTTTAAGTCCCTTCTTAAGACTCATCTTTTTTCCTTGGCTTTTGACACAATTTGAGACGTTTTACTTTGTTTTATTCTTTTTGTATACTAATATGTATTTTACACTCGTTTTTTCTCTATTTTATAATTTTATTGTATTTTATGATTGTGTACAGCACTTTGGTCCTGTTCGGTGTATAAAGTGCTTCATAAATAAAGTTGGTATGGTATGGTATGGTATTTGTTAATATTCGAGCCTAAAGAAAATAAAAAAATAAGTGTGTACAACACATACAAACTTGCTTTCCTGCTTTCTAAACACTTTTCTTTGAATGGCATGCAATTTAATGAGTGGTCTTTTACAGTATCTGCTCTACCCCATACAGAGGGACACATTTTTGTTAAGGGGGAAAAAAAAAATTAACTTGTTGGCCAAAAGAGATTTATTCCATTAATGAGATCTGCAAAATACTGCAAATCACCATGTATTTTTAACTGTAAAATCCTAATGTGTCTGAGTTTAAGAAACACTTAAGGATCCAATTCATACCCTAGAAATAAATACTGGTATTTAAAGACGATCACCTTTACTTCACCTTAGGTTACTTGTGGTATATTATTATTTGATTGATCATTATCAACTTAAAGAAAACAATACACTTTTGTTTATGATAAGATTGCATATTCTCGCTGCAGTCATGAACACTGGTTGGGGTGGCCTGTTTTGCATATCCAAGGAACTTTATGTATTTCCATGGATGGCTAATTAGCCTATTACAACCTTGCAGTTGTATCATGTCTTTCATAAGATTCACCCTTACTTCAGCTGATTTAGACACCTCATGGCAAAAGGCTTCTCTTCTGATGTGCTGAGAGACACACTGTGATTACATTTCGTTGTGGGTACTTTCATTTGACCAGCATATCATTTCCTTCCCTGGCATACTTTGAAGTGTGGACACTTCAAAGTAAAATGAGTGACTGCCACTTGGACTCTGAGGATGGCTCTTTTGATCATCTTTTGAAAACTCCCTTAACGCAATCAGGGCCAGAGCACAGGAGAGGGGGGGATTTGACAGCTATAAGATAAATGCCGTCATCCTCACAGCTATCAGATAAGCACTGCATGCTTTAATCCATTAATATGAAAATGAGGAAGGACTAGAAGGGACTTGGTCTGGGATTTAGAGTAAGAGTTATGCTTGGAATGAGTTTTCAAAGCAAGAGTCAGGATTTAAAGAAATTAATTAAGTGTGTGTGCCTGGCGATAATTTTAATATAGATACAATTTGTAATGCACACTTAATTATCATTTGCCTTCTGCATAGCATATTAATCTTCAACTACCCGGCACTCATACAAATGTTTATTTCATATTAACAAAATGCTCCTCAGCAATTCTTCTTTTCAGAACACTTTCTTGAAAAATGATGCTTATCTGAATCTAATATTTTAATACTATATTTGTTTACAATCATGAAGAAAAGAGATTTTTTGAATCACATTTCTCACTGCTTATCATCCATCCATTCATCCCTTCATCCATCCATTCATCCCTTCATCCATCCATGCATCCATCATCATCAATCCATCCATTCATCCATCCGGTTGGAATGAACTCACCTAATGGGGTTATGTGTCTCCAAGAAATGGTAGGCTCAGGTTTCCCAGTGGCTGTGCAGATGAGCGACACGTTGCTGCCCTCATTTACTGTGATGTCAGAGGAAATGTCATATATCTTAGGCGGAACTGCAAGAGAAAACAAAGAAGACGACAGAAACAAGATTAGATTTTTAAATGGCAATCTCTCAATCAGGCAGCAATCACATCTGTACGCAGGTCTGCATCTGAAAAAGGTTGGGTCAAGACATGACTTGTTTTCCTGCTCTGAGAAAGGACATATATTTAGAACTTTACTGTCCTCTCATCAGTCGAAACATAGCAAGACATTTTTACATTTATATCCTTATCACACTATGTGTTTGTTTCTGTGGTGTAGAAGGGCATCTACCTTAGGACAAGTTGACAGTCTTGAGAAACACAATTACCAGATAAACCAGGCTGCCATGGTCAGACATTTTGAAAAACTTTGTATAGCATGTTTGAAGTGTTTCTTAAATATGCTGCAGCAAGGACAGAAAAAAACATTACTTGAACTCCTGCTAAGATTTGTTGTCCTCGCTAATCTAGATTCACTCAGCTGATCGTACTGAAATTCTGCTTAATGTCATTTAGAGTGAGGAAAATAAGCATTTTTCTGTTAAACTCTGCTATTTTCCAAGTTGTCCCAATTAGAAATCATAGAGCGGTTTGAAATTGTCCTCATAGGTGCATGCAAACTGGTGGAAGTCAAATGAAAGGGAGTATCTACTGTTGGCTCGCCTTGCTAAACATTATCTTTGTGTCCCAGGGACCAGTATTGCATCGGAGAGGGTATTTTCAACAGCTGGTGACATTGTTAATGCAAAAGGAGCTGCCTAAGCACAGATCATGTCAAAAAACGTATTTTCATTCACAAGAATCTCATAGTTAGTTAGAGAAAATGCCTTTATGCAAATTGCAGTGTTGTAGGTAAAGTTTACTCATTTGCAATACTTTTATTTATACAAATTTGCACTTTTTTTTTCAAATTCTTCTTGAATGAAAAAGCTCTTAAGTTTAAGTCCAACATTTGACTCTAACCTAATTAAGAGTAATAGTTCTGTCAGAGATTAATGCAGGATCCTTTGTATGATCATGCAATCACTACTGTTACAGTAGGTCACCAGAGTGTGAATAGTTCTTCTTGAGCTAACAGTTTTAATGGCAATAGGTTCATACACTGAAGTTGTTGGTTGTTGTGCAGATGAGCAGATGATTGGCCTCTGAAGTCCAAGTTAAGTATTATAGGAAATAAAACAACTTTTTTTCTCGATGGTTTGGTTGTGGTAAGATTGTGCTAAGCCTGTAATCCAAATGCAGGTGGCCCAGTCCTATTCTGAAGTCTGACAGCATCTGACCTAAGTTTAACTTTACTTTGTGTTTATTTGCCAGTATTTTTTGGCCCTTAAAAAACAAAATACCTTTATGCAAATTGCAGTGTAGTAGTTAAATTTTTTTTCATTTGCAATACTTTTATTTGTAAAATTATTTTTGTTTATTTTTTTTTGTACATCCCAAGTTTAAACTGTCCGGTTTACAAGTCTGTACTTTGTGTTTAATGTGAAGGAAAAAATTAAAGACGTGCAATTTACAACACTGTTGAGCAACTTTCATTATTGTAAAAGCAGATCGAATTGAAATTATCTGATTCTGAGCTGTATTAATCGGAATCGAAATAAAATACCCAGCCCTTAGAAAGACACCTGTCCACCCCATACAATTAGTATGAATCCAACTACTAACATGGCTAGGACCAAATAGCTGTCCAAAGACAATAGAGCAAAATTGTACACCTCCACAAGGCTGGAAAGAGCAATGGGAATTTTGCCCAGCAGCTTTGTGAAAAAAGGTCCACCATTGGAGCAATTATTAGAAAATTGAAGAAGCTAAACATGACTGTGAATCTCCTTCGGACTGGGGCTCCATGCAAGATCTTACCTCGGGGGATCTCAATGATCCTAAGAAAGGTGAGAAATCAGCTCAGAACTACACAGGAGGAGCTGGTCAATTGGCTGAAAAGAGCTGGGACCACCATTTCCAAGGTTATTGTTGGTAATACACTAAGACTTCAGGGTTTGAAATCATGGATGACATGACAGGTTCCCCTGCTTAAAGTCGTATGGAAGCGGCCTGTTCCAACAGTTGGCAGTTCCGAATTCTCCCAAGTGGTGCCTGACTTTATACGAGTGAAAAAAGTGAATGTGATTGGTCGTTTATCAAGGGGGCGGGATTGTTGTGGCGGAAGGTTCACAAGCAAGTCTGGTTGTGGCCAGTTTCTCAGAAGCATTTTGCTAACCAGTTAGCAACTTAGTGCCAGCAGGTTCCCAAAGGGAAATTACATTGGGACCAAGTAGCACGTAGCAACAACGCTGTCAAGGAACGCTATGGACAGCAGAAACATGCAAGAGGAGGAGAGTTTTGTGTCGAAGGACGTGGATCAGTCTCCTCCGTCATATATTTTTATTTAGAGGAGGAAAGCAGGGACAAAGTTGTTGTGGAAGAGGACGCCAAGGCGGCAGAAGCTTGGTTTGGTGTAGAAGGCTTACAGTCGTACGTGTTTGAGCCCTTGCCTCACAACGCTGGCAGCTCGGTTAGCTCTACCCCTGTCGAAGACACAGGCGTCCATCCCCGTGAACACTGGGACGGAACTCAATGGAAAAGTAAATTATTCTTATTTCAACCGTTGTGTATATTAGCTATGACATATGAATCAAGGTGCTATGACCGAAAAAATTTGATAAGTGTTTTTCTGCATATGGGACAGGACTGCACTGTATTAAGGAGGGGATAACAGCGCCATGTATTGTGAGATTTTGGGGAACAACCTCCTTCCCTCAGTTAGAGCATTGAAGATGAGTTGAGGGTGGGACTTCCAACATGACAATGACCCTGAGCAGACAGCCAGGATAACCAAGGAGTGGCTCTGTAAGAGGCATATCAAGGTTCTGTCATGGCCTAGCCAGTCTTCAGACTTAAACCCAATACAGAATCTTTGGAGGGGGCTCAAACTCTGTGTTTCTCAGCGACAGCACGGAAACCTGACTGATCTAGAGACTATCTGTCTGGAGGAGTGGGCCAAAATCCCTCCTGTTGTGTGTGCAAACCTGATGAAAAAACTATAGGAAATGTGTGACCTCTGTAATTGCAAACAATAGCTACTGTACCAGATATTAACATTGATTTTCTCAGGTGTTAAAATGCTTATTTGCAGCTGTATCACACAAATAAATAGTTAAAATTATGCCTCTCACAATGGACAATAAGCTACAATGACAATCTCAGACCTCTTCATGATTTCTAAGTGAGAGAAATGTACAGGGTGTTCAAATACCTATTTTTCTCACTGTATTTCTACTACACAAGAGTAAAAAAATATGCTGATATTGTAATAATGTTAATTAGACAATTCACAAACTGTACTCTCCAATACAAACAGTAACATCTCACCATGTTAAAAGAAATAAGCCTGTTTAGTAAATTAAAGTAAATGAAAAATCTCAATGTTAATGTGTACGATTTTGTGTTAGGATTATATGTCTTGCTTTAATCCCCAAACTAGAGGAATACTGTTTGCATTGATGTTAAAGATGGGATAATGTGGTTCTAAAGGCTCCATATGAAGCACAACCAGACATGATGTGACGTTATGTGATATTCATGCAGGAGACAGAGTGTCTGATTTTGGAGGTTGAGGACTGAACTCTGAGTAGCTAGAATAGCATGGTCTAAATGATTACAATACCACCTTACACAAATCTTCTCTATTAGATTTGTGCCAAATTTAATTACATGAGATTGGACATGAGTGAGAGAAGGACAGTTGTTATGTAGGATAGGAAGATGGATAGCAGATCCAACAGAGTAGAGATATGGTTTCATCCTTATTACATAATGTTTCTAACACTTTAATGATAAAACTGAGGTAATAGCAAATTAAACTAGGCTTCACAGTCTGTCTTCTGCTTCTGCCATTCAATCAAACAGACATGAGGAAAATGATATTCAAGCCCTTCTCCAAACACTGTCATCTTACATTCACCTTGTAGTTCATCACACAATGTACATAAAGCAGTTTGGAATTCCTATCATAAATTTTATGGATCAGTGTCACATTTCAGTTACAACTCAGTTAATTAGAATATATCAGATGAGTTGTTTATTCCAGTTATTGTGAGGGTTATGACTTACAGCTCACAAAACCCAAAATTCAGTTTCTTAGAAAATTGAAATACAAAAAAGCATTCATCTTACATACATTGTTGATCAACACAGCCTTGGGGTACTCTGCTGACTTGACAGTTACCAGCAAACAACCACAGCCTCTCGCCATGGTAGGAAGAGTAAGAATATACATACAGTATATATACTACCTACATTTGAAGCATTGTCTCAGCCAAAGTGATTGGGATACTTAGTTTGCTTGATGCTGTCATTTTGAAAATAGAGGTAGGGGAGACTTCAGACATGAACATTTTGTGTAATGCTGACACCACATGCAGCACCACAAACCGATTGCATCATTTCTGAAAGCCCTCAGCTCTGTCGGTTATCAACATCTCTACATGTGATATATGAATAGACAGAGGCAGCTTAACTTTGCAGGTTTATGGTGAACATGTTTTGTGAAGGAGGTTGGTCATCGACGCTTGTCACAAATAAGGTACCACAAGTGAATGGTTGTTCACCTGTTCTATTAGGACATAATAATGGAAAGTTGAGTGAAAGAATAAGGGGGTGATAAGAGGAAGAACAAGCAATAGTGAAAAATGAGGCCTTGGGAGGATTATGAAGCAAAACGTATTCAGGAGTTTGGGGAATATCCTGAAGCGGAGGTCTAAGCCTGAAAACACAGCTTGAACTAATCTACACACAGAGGCATCTGGGGGGGGGCTAACACAGTATCAGTCTGGCCAGACTGACTGACTTACATGGGGTGTGACTCAGTCTGGTTAGGCTAAATACTCTACTGTCTAAAATAGACCAGAACAATCACAACTGGAGAGGTGCGCCCACAATGCAACAGCACTTCTCTGTGGTCCTAAGACTGTAATGGAGTGATGTTTTACTAATGGATGGGATGCAAACAAGACTTTTCTTGTGTCATATTC